TTGTTTAAGGTTTAAGTATATTTAAAGTGTTTAAAACCCGGTGTTGACATTTTCCTGCGTTACAAATATTGATATTTTTGATTCAAGTCGGACTTTTGTTTCACTTTGTTGTTTCCAGAGGGCGCTTGGCTTCAGCAGTCTTACTCTAACCTTTCATTGTTTAATTTTTTTGTTCTTCATGATTGAACGTTGGAAATTGTTATTGAAATCAATTATACATATCCATTGTACGACCTATGCCATTTGAATTCGATTCTTACATGTATTCTTCTCATGGGAGTCTATTTTGATTCATGAACGGATTCAACGCACAGCAAAATCATTTTCCTTGTACTCGACTGGTCCGTTTCCAAGTGAATAGCATATTTGATTCAATCTCAAATTTCCTATACGCTGGACTTATCTTTATTGTTATATAACCTGTATTACCAACAGGGTTTCATATTCTTGAACTTATTCGTCTTTTAAGTTTATTGTTCTGACACTCGGCTAGGCCTAAAGTCATCTAAGAAGAAGAAGAAGAAATCATAAGATGTAGGCGCTTCGCGCCTGCTTCTCGTACTGTTTTTTATCTTATACATATACTTATATTTTTCTATCTCTTTCAATGTTCAGGGTGAATCAAAAGTCCCGGAACAATTGGATATCTCTTAACGAATGCACTTTTGGAAAAAATGTTCAATACAAAAGTTGTTTCGAATAAAAAATCTATTAAAGTACGTAAACCACAATCGAGCACTACGTGCAAAAAAAGTCCAATTTTTTAAATGGCATCGACTCTATTTGTAAAACTACAGAGTTATTGTGAACAATTTTCTCTATCCAAACATATGGCATAATATGGACTTTAAAAAAAATTTTTTATTGACGAAAACATAAAGATACATATGGGTGATTTTCAGCGTAGCGCACGATTTGGAGTCTGAAACTTTAAAAATATTTTTTTATCGAAATGATAAATATCAATACATTTTTGAAGATAAAGTGTCAAGAAATAAATATCCATGGTGGGCCGGAAAAATTTTTAAATTTTTTTAAACAAATTAGAAAAAAAATTCTTTGCTTTTTGAATTCTATAAAATAGTTGAAATTTGATTTGAAATGTTTATGGGAATTTTTAGGGTAATTCACAAAAATATATATAGCGCGAATGACAATTAAAAATTTTTATTTCGGTAATTTACGGAAATTTTCGAGGTAATTTATGGAAATTTATAGAAATTTTGTCTAAAATTAATAAAAATATGTAAAGCATAAATCACAATTAAGAAGGTAAAGTAGCTCATATACATGAACGTCTTGCTGTTGTCGAAGGAAGACTCGATAAATGTGAGAATAACCGCTCAGAAAACATTGACCACAAAGCTGATGTTAATGTCTGTATGAATTAAATTTTTGATAGGAATGAGAGAAAATGTAATCTCGTTTTATTCAATCTTCCTGAGGATGACAACTTGGACACTAATAATGAAAATTTAAAATCAGTTATTGTTAACAAATTAAAGGATGTTATTTTACCTCAAGACTTGGATAACAGTAGAATTATTAGAATTGGTAATACTTCGCAGGTGTCTCAGAAGCCCCGCCCTATCAAGATTTTGTGTGCGACGGAGGAGAGGGCACAAGTGATATTAAAAACATTTGTAGCTGCCAAAAAAGATCCGATGCGTTCAAAATGGTTACAAAATCTCTGGCTGACAAGCGACAAAACGCAAATGCAAAGGGAGGAAATACAAGCAGTGAAAGAGCAACTGAAAAAACGTCAACTGGAAGGAGAGGAGAATCTGAAACTGGTGTTTCGCATTGTATGCGGCTGTCTCAGACATTATTATTGATGAACAACATGGATTTGTTAAGGGACGTTCAACAGTGACTAACCTTGGAGTTTTTACTAATTTCTTAAGTATTAATTTGGAACTAAGGTGTCAAATTGACGTGATTTATGCTGACTTCTCTAAGGCGTTTGACAAAGTTGATCACTGTATATTGTTAAAAAAATTGCAATCAATGGGTGTGTCTGAAAATCTGGTATCTTTTTTTGAAAGCTACCTCTCTAAGAGGTATCAGTCTGTTAAAATAGATAATGAATATTCTGACCCGTTCCTGGCTACCTCTGGTGTTCCACAGGGATCAAATCTTGGTCCACTCTTATTCGTTTTATATATGAATGATATTGAATCTGTTTTTGTTAATTCTTTCTTTCTGTTATATGCTGATGATCTCAAGTTCTATATGATTATTGATTCGTCTAACCCCTGTCAGAGCTATTCAGATCTGCAATCGGATATGAATCGTCTGTCAGTTTGGTCCAATCATAATCACATGCCAATTAATATTAATAAGACCTATGTAATTTCTTTCTTAAAGGGTAGAACATTATTGTATTGTTACACCATTGATGGCCAGGAACTGGAGAGGGTATCTAAAATACGTGACCTTGGTATACTATTTACTAATAATTTCTCATTTAATGAACACATCTCAGAAATTATCTCACGGTCATTACGTACGTTGGGATTTATAATGAGATGTGCATCATTGTTCCATAATTCAGGAACTTTGAGAACGTTGTATTTTTCACTTGTCAGGACGATACTTGAGTACGCTTCTATAATTTGGTCACCATTTTATGTATTCAATATAATAAAAATTGAACGTATCCAAAATAGATTCTTGAGATTTGCTGCGCGACAACTTAATCTGCCTTTTTACAGATACACCCATGATTATAATTTACTACGATCTATTTTGAATATTCCATTATTGTCATCGAGATTTCTTTTCGCAGATACGATTTTTTTGTATAAATTAATAGGTGGAATTGTTAAATGTTCTCCCCTATTATCGTTGATCAATTTTTCGGTTCCTACAAGATCTACTAGATATTATTTTTTGTTCTCTGTACCATTCCATAGAACTAACTATGGTAATAATGCGCTAATTAATAGACTCAGTAGAGAAGCGAATTTGGTTTTTCGAGATATTGATTTTTTTGATGATAATTTAATTAGATTCACCTTAGCATTACGAAGACTTATATTGAACTTTAACTCTTAAGGTGCCAACCTAGCATTTAATATTTTTATATAATGTTATTATTGTTTAAATAATACTTAGAATTAGGAGTACTATTTGTACGAAAGGGCTTGTCCCGTCAATTTAATAAATAAAAAAAAAAATTTTTTTAAATTATAATTTTCGTAATTTACTGAAATTTACGAGGTAATTTATGAAAATTTTCCCGGTAATTTACAAAAAAATATATAGCGCGAACAAATTAAAAATTTTATTTTGGTAATTTACGGAAATTTTCGAGGTAATTTATGGAAATTTACAGAAATTTTGTCTAAAATTAATAAAAATATGTAAAGCATAAATCACAATTAAAAATTATAAGTATGGTAATTTACGGAAATTTACGCGGTAATTTACAAAAAAATATATAGCGCGAACAATTAAAAATTTTATTTTGGTAATTTACGGAAATTTATGCGGTAATTTATGGAAATTTATACGGTAATATAGCTCCGGTAAGTTTACTATAACTTACCAAATAAATTTCTATAAATTACCGTATAAATTTCCATAAATTTTCATAAATTACCTAATTAAAATTTTTAATTGTCGTTCGCGTTATATATGTTTTTGTAAATTACCGCGAAAATTTACATAAATTACCAAAATTAAAAATTTTAATTGTGATTCATGCTTTACATATTTTTATGAATTTTAGACAAAATTTCTATAAATTACCGTATAAATTTCCATAAATTACCGCATAAATTTCCATAAATTACCAAAATAAAATTTTTAATTGTCGTTCGCGCTGTATATTTTTTGTAAATTACCGCGTAAATTTTCGTAAATTACCAAACTTATAATTTTTAATTGTGATTTATGCTTTACATATTTTTATTAATTTTAGACAAAATTTCTATAAATTTCCATAAATTACCTTGAAAATTTCCGTAAATTACCAAAATAAAATTTTTAATTTGTTCGCGCTATATATTTTTTTGTAAATTACCGCGAAAATTTTCATAAATTACCGCGTAAATTTCCGTAAATTACGAAAATTATAAATTTTAATTGTGATTTATGCTTTACATATTTTTATTAATTTTAGACAAAATTTCTATAAATTTCCATAAATTACCTCGAAAATTTCCGTAAATTACCGAAATAAAAATTTTTAATTGTCATGCGCGCTATATATATTTTTGTGAAGTACCCTAAAAATTCCCATAAACATTTCAAATCAAATTTCAACTATTTTATAGAATTCAAAAAGCAAAGAATTTTTTTTCTAATTTGTTTAAAAAAATTTTTAAATTTTTCCGGACCACCATGGATATTTATTTCTTGACACTTTATCTTCAAAAATGTATTGATATTTATCATTTCGATAAAAAAATATTTTTAAAGTTTCAGACACCAAATCGTGCGCTACGCGGAGAATCACCCATATATATATATATATGTTCTATCCCCCATAATTCTATCCCTTTTTATCGTTTCACATGCAGGCGGGACATTTTTGAAGTAAACTATAACTTTTTTGTATCTACTCTTAATAAATTAAAATGGATTTTGAAACGCACAAACAGAAAAAATGTCCATTGTCATTAATGGAATACAAAAATTACTCTACAAAAAATTCTCAAACAATGTTTTGTACATCTCAATTTTTAATAACTTTCTTAGTAATGTGTCTTTTTAAGGAATTACAAAACGAAATTTATGTTTAGTTTTCTATTATTGTTACACGCATCCCCGCATCTTGGACACTTTTCGGTACTTTTAGAATCAAGTCCATGATGGTTGCCAAATGTAAAATGCAAAGTAGATATTAGTAGATGGTTACTAGATATGGATTTGAATCAAATTAGTTTTAAAGTTCATTTAGAACATAATTTCTGCGCACTTTAAATGAAAAGATCCAATTTTAATAAACAAAAAACATATTGAAATTAAAAGTATAAATATAAGAGAAAACTTACTTGATAATTATCTGGGAGTGAATCATGCTGAACAGTAAGAATAATAGAATTTCCAGGTCGCAAAAGTTCCATCACTGTTTCTTGATGTGTCGCTTTGGTAACATCAGTTCCATTTACCTTTAATATTCTATCTCCCATTTTTAATTTTTCAGATTTAGATGCTATTCCACCAGGAACAACCTAAATCATTAAAGTAAAAAAAAAATTTATACATTGTGACAGACAAGTATTTTTTAACGTTATTTCGAGAAATATATTTATGGGTGATTCTCTCAAAAAGGACAAATTACGCTTTTAAGATATTTTGTTAAAAAATATGAAAATTAATTGAAATTATTTAAAATTCTGTCAGCCATACGTTAGGATTTAACAATTTTCAATCGGACCACTAAAGAAAATTTTAAAAAAAAGGTAAAATAACTGAAATATTGAATAAAAACTGATGTTACGGAATGGAGTTACGGAATGAAGTTTTAACACTAGTTTTCATTCAATAATTCAGTTGTTTGCCATTTTTTTGAAATTTTCTTTAGTGATCCCATAAAAATTTGTTGAATTTTATCGTATGGCTGGGAGAATGTTTATTAATTGAAATTAATGTTATTATTTTTTAACAAAAACCTCGTCCAAAAATTGTGCACAAATAATTTGTTCTTTTTGAGAGAATCACCCTTATACTAAAATAAGAGTTAGGATTAACAATGAACAAATGTTCGACTCTGCAACCTCTTACCGATCCGAGAGCTAATAGTATCACGTGTGTTGGTTTGTTGAAAAATTTTATAAAGTGTGAACTTTTTAAAATTTTTTAATTTAATTTCTTAACGAATTTTATAAACGTGTAATCTTTGATTAATTTCGACAACCGTTTTGTAAGAAAATTAGTCTATATTAAGGGAGATTTTTATTAAAAGCCTCTACTTAGATAACCCGTTAAAGTTGAGATTTCACCTTTTACAAAATATACTTTTTTTAAATTATATATTAATGCAACTTACATGTGAGATAAAAATTCCAGGTTCCCTAGCTCCGAACGGCGTACACGAATGATCAGTACCACCAATGATACTAAAACCAAGTGATCCTTCTTTTACAAGAATAACATCCTAAAAACATATAAAATTTTAGGTTAGATTGTTTAATAATAATTAGACAAAACTTTCTAATCGTCTTCTATCAATTATTACAATAATAATATATACAAAACATAATATATACCATACATTGAAAGCCTTCTTGTACGGAATTCTTTCAAATGGAATGAGTTAATTTCAATGCAAGAAGAGGGGTTAATAAATAATAATTGAGGGACGCGATGCAGTTTTTTAAGCCTGAAATCTTCAAAAATTAATAAACCCAAAACTTAAAATTTTTAAACAATGATTTCTGTTACAAATTGTTCTATTACGATGGAAGAACAGAAACAATTCTCTTTATGCTGGGCGAACCAAATTCAGTACAATACATAAATTTTTAAATTTTTCTGGGTCAAAATTTGGATTTCAAAATTGAACTACTTTGATAAATACTGAACTTTTTGATAAAGTTATAATAGATTATTTGTGTACTGTTTAACACTAGAACTATCGAAGATCCTGCATATCTAGAACTACCACACAGTGTGTTATTTTTGCAATTTCATGTTCAAAACCTAATGTCTCTTGAACAAATTGACCAAATTGAATGAACCTTGGACCAAAATAAAGCTAAATAAATGTAGAATAGAGGAAAATTATAGGGAACCCTTGATTTATTTTTTTGAGCTCCAGGGAGTCGAGTAAAGTTAGCATTTTTTAGGAAAAAATGGTAAATTAAAGTATACAAACCGGTATATCATGGTAAAACTTAATAAAACAACTTTTTTGTAAGTGGCGAATTCAAAATGGCGGACTAAAACAATGCAATTTTGAAACAAAAATTTTTTTGTTCAAACTGTGGTATTTTTATGTTTTTGAGGTCGCTAAATCCAAATATGATGTTATAATTTAAAAATTCAAAATGGCGGACACAAAATGGCGAACGAAAATTTTTCAAAGTGCTTAGATTTCAAGGAGATTTGGTACTTTAACGTTTTCGAGATCGCTGAATTCAAATATGATGGTAAAATTTGAAAATTCAAAATGGCGAATCCAATATGGCGGACAGAAAATTTAAAAAGTGCTAAGATTTCAATGAGACTTGGTACTTTAACCAATCCAATATGGCGGACAAAATATTTATAAAATTCTTAGATTTCAACGAAGCGTAGTGTTTTATTATTTTTCTAGTCACAGACTTCAAATATAATGCTCAATATGAATATATAAAAAAAAATTTATAATCACTACGCTTCGTTGAAATCTAAGAATTTTATAAATATTTTGTCCGCCATATTGGATCCGCTATTTTGCATTTTTAAATTTTGTCATCATATTTGAATTCAGCGCCATTTTGAATTTTCAAATTTTACCATCATATTTGAATTCAGCGATCTCGAAAACGTTAAAGTACCAAATCTCCTTGAAATCTAAGCACTTTGAAAAATTTTCGTTCGCCATTTTGTGTCCGCCATTTTGAATTTTTAAATTATAACATCATATTTGGATTTAGCGACCTCAAAAACATAAAAATACCACAGTTTGAACAAAAAAATTTTTGTTTCAAAATTGCATTGTTTTAGTCCGCCATTTTGAATTCGCCATTTTGAATTTTGAAAAATGAACTTTAGTTTTGTATTCAGTGATCCTAAATGCTTACAAAAAAGTTGTTTTATTAAGTTTTCCCATGATATACCTGTTTGTATACTTCAATTTACCATTTTTTCCTAAAAAATGCTAACTTCACTCGACTCCCAGGAGCTCAAAAAAATAAATCAAGGGTTCCCTATAAGTTTCCTCTATTGTACATTTATTTATCTTTATTTTGGTCCAAGGTTCATTCAATTTGGTCAATTTGTTCAAGAGACATTAGGTTTTGAACATGAAATTGCAAAAATAACACACTGTGTGGTAGTTCTAGTGTTAATGCTTAATTAAATATTTGTAATTTCGATAAACGTGTGTTAGCAAAAATAGTATATGTCCCTTCTTTCTTCCCTTTTCAAATTTTTTAAATTTTCTTAAAATTTTCAACATTGTTTACTTTGTCCCTTCAAGACATAACACGATTATTAATTAAATAAGGGTTACATTGAAAAAACTTAAATAACATTTATGCGATTAAGAATATTTTAATTTCAAATTAAATATAATAAAAAAAAACTGAAGCCAAAAATAATTTTATGCTCATGAATTTCATATGGAATGGTTTGGGGAATCGAATGGTATTATGGAATACACTTCGCGTTGCTGTCCCGGCGAATTTCATACTCACGCAGACTATTTTATAAAGGAATCTTGTCTTTTAGTATTTTATTGACCTTCATTTAAAAAATTTTGCTGTTGACCAGTTTGCACTAGATTTGATTCCTAGTGTTTACGAAAATTTCTGTGACACTACAATATTTCCTTTATAATGGAAAGAAATAGAAAAATTGGGTTCAAATTCACTTTTAAACCGAAATTATGGTTTAAATTTAAAAACTTTTTTCTCCTATTCATAACTTAATTATAAAGAGATCTGTGAAAGTCGATTTTTAAAATTTTTCAATGTCAATGTAAAAGACTAATTTTTTTACCATTTTTTGGTTTATTTCCTATAAAAATTTTTTTTGACGATATACAAATAGATGTTATAAACAAATTCTATAATGAAGGTAGGAATTAATGAAAAATAGTTTTGAAAAAAATATTTATTTTACAAGATATTTGACATTGAAAAATTCAAATTTGAAAAATAATCCTTTTTCAAAGATTTTCAACTCAAAAACTATTTGAAAAAAACTATCACACAAGAAAAAGTCATTTATACAAAATTATGTGGAAAATATCAAATTTTTATAATTTTAACCTTTACTTGTTACACCTCTGCTGAATAAAATATTTAATTTGTTTTTTATTTCTGCAAATTATTATTTAATAGAAATTCTTTTTAATTAAATTTAAATATTGCAAACTTTTTATTTCATCGAATTTTAATTTCACTGATTTGTCCGAATAAATATCTGATAGAAAAATTTGGACGCAAATTTAGAAATTAATTCATCAGAAGTTAGCAACGAAAATATGATTGGTTAATTTTAAATATTGCGTTCACATTTTTCTGATAAATAAAAGTTATGTAAAATAAAAATTCGATGTTTTAAGAATTCTGTCAAATATAAATTCGGCGAGAAAAGACATTCATCATTTTTATTGTTTGCTGACGATTGCATAATAACTTCATCTTCAGAAGAATTTCTAAAAGGTTCAGATTCAATTTCATTCGCAAAAAGTGCAATTGATTTTCAATGAAAAATAAAACTAAAAAATTTATTTATTTCTACTTGCATAACCCTAGATAATAATTGTATGCAACCATTATTTTCTAAATTTCAATTATTTGATCATTTAATTTTAAATCGAATATTTAATAATAAACCACTCTTTACTTTTTCTTATATTAAAAAAAATTCTTTTTTTATAATAAAATATTTTTATATAAATTAAAAATATTTTTTGATTTTTTGTGAATTTTTATATATGTGTTTAACTAATTTATATTACTGATTATAATTTGAATAAAATTAAAACTATAATTTTTAAAGAATACAGTGGCGATTTCCCTCTAAAATTTGACGTAAATTTTAAGGTTATGTTCGTTTTTTTAGAGGGAATTTCCCGCCAAAATTTGACATAAATTTGAGAATGTATGTCCAACATAGTCTCAAACCCAGCGACTTGCGGCTATATTCAGTCTTAGAATAGCGGCAGCGATATCTTTTTGTAATATAATTTATATTTTTGTAATAAATATATTATCAAAATTGAATTCAAACTTTTTTTTAATATTAGGACATTCTCTGTCAACGGGAGACCCCCCTGCCCAAAATTGGTTCAAGTATTTTAAGACATATGTATATAGAAATAAAAGTTTATTAACCCTACTTTCAAATGCCGTATGGCCTTTTTGAAAAAACCAATATGGCGGTTATAAGTGCTATAGGTCACTCAAAAAAAGTAGTTTATCGTGTTTTAAAATTAAAAAAGTCATCCTAGAACATCGGGAAAAGCATATTTTCGTGTAATTCTATCGATAAACACGATTGTAATATTTATTTTACCGGAAAAAATTATCTGTCTTCCCTAACCTCAAAAAAACACGAAAAATGCAGTTTATTGTGTTTTACGCTTAAAAAAGTCATCCTAAAACATCGGGAAAATCATATTTTCGTGTAACTTTTATCAATGAACACGAATCTAATATTTATTTTAACGGAAAAAATTATGTGTCGTCCCTAACCTAAAAAAAACACAAAAAAGCCGTTTATTATGTTTCACGCTTAAAAAAGTCATCATAAAACATCGGAAAAAGCATATTTTCGTGTATCTTTTATCGATGAACATAAATTTGATATTTATTTTGCCGGAAAAAATTATGCGTTGTTCCTAACATAAAAAAACATGGAAAAAGGCACTTTATCGTGTTTCAAGCCTGACACAATCACCATCAAACAATGGGAAAAGCTTATTTTTGTGTAATTCTTATCGATGAACATGAATTTAATATTTACTTTAACGGAAAAAATTATGTGTCGTCCCTAAACTCAAAAAAACACGGATTAATCAGATCATCGTGTTGCATGCTTAGCAAAGTCATTACGAAAAATTATGAATAGCATAATATCATAAAAGTTTTATTGATTAACATCATTTTGAGATTGGTATCAAATAAGGTAAATAACAATCTTCAAGTTACTCCATTTGAAACCGCCATAATTTGAAATTTTTAGGTTGGTATTGAAATGGTATTTTAATAGTCAAAAGTTCAATTATAAAATTATTATAAATTATTTGGAAAATTATAAATTAATAAATAATAAAAATAAAATTATATTGAGAAATAAAATTAAAAGTATATAAATTGAATTTCTGGAAATAATAGAAAAAGAAGTTAGATATAAATTCGAGTTAAAAAAATTATGAAATTAATTTAATTTAATGAATTTTTTTAAACAGAATAAAAGATTTGCATAAGCATTATTTAATTAATAAATTATATTTAACATTTTTAAACATCTGTAAAATAAAATAATAAAGATTATTTTATTGCGGAAATTAATAATAATAATATTAAAAAAATTAAAATTAAATTAATTAAAAATTTAAATCATTTAATTATTTTTTTCTAATATTTGAATAATATTAAATAGATTCTTAACATCAGTGCGAATATTTAATATTTTTGAAGTGAAAATGACAAATAAGCTTTCCAGAAACTCGGGTGAATATGAGTCGCGAAAAACCGCTTCTTGGATGTTTTTTGAAGATATGGCGAACACGTACCATTTTCCTGATGAAGAAATACCAAATTCGTCTTCACTGATAAAAGTTAGACGAAAATACCCTTTTTCGATGTTTTATGATGACTTTTTTAAGCGTAAAACACAATAAACTACATTTTTCGTGTTTTTTTGAGGTTAGGGACGACAGATAATTTTTTCCGGTAAAATAAATATTACAATCGTGTTTATCGATAGACTTACACGAAAATATGCTTTTTCCGATGTTTTATGATGACTTTTTTAAGCGTAAAACACAATAAACTGCATATTTCGTGTTTTTTTTTGAGGTTAGGGACGACAGATAATTTTTTCCGGTAAAATAAATATTACAATCGTGTTTATCAATAGAATTACACGAAGATATGCTTTTCCCGATGTTTTAGGATGACTTTTTAAGCGTAAAACACAATAAACTACATTTTTTGAGTGACCTATAGCACTTATAACCGCCATATTGGTCCGCCAAATTGGTTTTTTCAAAAAGGCCATACGGCATTTGAAAGTAGGGTTAATAAGCTTTTATTTCTATATACATATGTGTTAAAATACTAGAACCAATTTTGAGCAGGGGGGGGTCTCCCGTTGACAGAGAATGTCCCATTTTATTTATTTAAGTAGATTTGGTTTTTGACTATTGAAATACCAATTCAATATGAAAAATTTATTTTGCAAAAATTCACAGATCTCTTCAGAATTTAGTTCTGAATCGGAGAAAAAAGATTTTTGAATTTCGTCCATAAATGGGATAGAAAATTTAATTTCAATCTAACTTTTTGATTTCTTACCACTGTGTGAGGAAGCAAAAAATCAGAAGTATTTAAAAAATTCAAATTATAATTAGAAGCTTAATATTTTTTTTTCTAAATAGTCTTTGACTGAAAGCATGAAGATAGAGAAAAAGAAACTGATTTTAAATAGCCAAGCCATAACCGGACATACCTCAATAATGATTGGTTGAACCAAATGATTGTCGGTGACTCTAGTAACAACAGTCTCCGTAAGTGTACTCTTTGTGATGGTCTCAGTAACTTTACCAATTGTAGTTGGTGCTGGAGGAAAATTAACATCTCCCGAAAAATTATCGGGTTGTTTAATTGTTACCGTTACAACGGGAACATGATGGGACTCTGGTGAGGGTGAAGAACTCGGAGGTCGAAGGAAATGAATAGGAATCATGGCTTGAAATTCCTCACTTGTAATTGGCTTCAATACCTGTATATCTTCTTGAGGACTCCTTGATCTACCTTCACATGTTGCATTTGTACCAGTTGACATTGCATTGGCGGGTGTTGAACTGGGTTCACTATTCATATTTGACGTTATGGTCCTTGGAGCAGGTTGCGGAGTTGATTGTTGAAAGTTAGTAGAAGACGTGATTGTTGGAATGGAATTTTTAATATTTGTTGCTTCACTAACACCATTTACTTTTGAATTATTTAATGAATCATTTGTCGATTGTTTGGGTGTTTTAATCAAGCCACCTGGCCGAATATTACCAGGAAATCTGTTAGTAATGTAACTATTTGTTCCATATAGTCCCGTATATGGTTTAGATACACCCATAACTTGAGATAATTTTTCTGACGACGTCAATGAATTTATAGAACAAGTCTGAGGTACAAGAACTTCACGTTCAACGACCAATCGAACGAATCGTTCTAAACCAGTTAACAACGCTACAGCTTGATCATGTTTAGCTTCTAACATTTCAACTCCATTAATCTAAACAATACATTTTTCAAAATTATTTTTATCTTTTAAATCAGATTGGTAAAAAATTGCAAATATACTTACAGCAATTACTTTATCACCAACTAATAATTTTCCATCTTTTTGTGCTACTCCACCATCTGTTATTCTTGAAATATATATAGCCTTAAAAATAAAGACAAAATTTAATACTACAAAATAAAATTAATCAATTTTAAGGCTTCATAGTGTTCCGAAAAAAAATTTTAGGGAAAATAGGGAACTAAAAAATTAAAAATAGGGGACTCTTATGGTAATATGAAAATTACATAAGTAAAGATAAAAAGTTAATTTAGTTAACAAGTTTAAATAATCTGATAAACATTTTTTTATTAAATTTAATACATTTCCTGAATCAAAATATGCAAAAACATATTCTGTAAATGAAATTTTATTTTTGATTAAAAATCTACTCCAAATATCTTACAAAATTATTTCTAAAAAATTTTTTTAAATTATTTCACAACGACTTTAAACGAAATGTAGTGAAATAATGATTTTTTATTTTTAATAAATTTAATTAATTAACAAATATTTTATTATTACAAATTAAATGAATTATATTTATTTCTTAATAAAAATATTTTCAAGAATTCTTCTTTTTTAATCACCGAATTAAAATCAAACTAATTTTCAACATTTCAATTCAATAGAACAAATTTTTGAAAAAATTGTAATTTTTTTTTAAAGAAAACTTAAATCTGATTTATAAAAATTATACGAATTCAAAATTTCGGTAATTCGATATAATTGATTTTTTGGAAAACTAGAATATTTTTTAGAAATAAATACATAATTCAACAAAGAATTTAAGTTGAAAATAATTGAAATTATTGTAAATTTGAATTAATGAAAAATAATTAACAAAATTTTAAACAATAATTGAATTTTAGAAAATTTTGAATTAAAAACTGTTTTAAATAATTTAATTATTGAAAAATTATTGAAAAAAATTAATAAAATTTATTGAAATAATTAATTTACCAAAGAATTTTAGAAATTTAATTTAAATTAACGAAATTAAAATTAGTAACGGCAACCGTTTCCATGATAGTAAACGATACCTTAGCAGGCCTTGATTATTTTGGTAGAAAATGAATATTTTTAAAAAGTATTTTCATAAAAATCAAAGATTTATTGTAATATTTTGTGAAAAATAGGGGAAATTTAGAGAAAATTTTTCAAATAGGATACACTGAGAGAAGAAAAGCACAGAATCCGTACTCTGACGAACGCCGGCCGTGTAAAATGGGTGTTAGTATCCGTTCTTTAGTTTTGTTCAGTTGGTGTCGTTCATAGTTCAGATACTATGCTCTAGCAGCGCGGCAGCGGTGTGAACTAAGTTATACAGAATCTATCTCATATGACCCAATTTACTTAATATTATTATTATTTAAAAATATAAGTTCAATTTTTTATAAGAAATTTCAAAATGTATGAATAAAGTAAATAAAAAATTTGTTATTTTTAAAATCCATAACCCAAAACTAATGCAGTAATAAATAAGAATAATAATAATGATAATAACATTAGAATAGAATAATAATAAAAATAATTAACTATATAAAAATAAATAAGTAGAAATTGTTTTTTTTTATTTAGAAATCTAAAATTTATTTTCAAAAAAACAAAATAACTTTCTATTGAAAATTATAAAACCCAAAGAAACTATATCAATTACATAAAAATAAATAAATTATAAAATCAAAACGGTATTAGTTATTATTTAAAAGAAAATTTTTTAAATTAAAATATCATTATCGTAAAGCTCATTATTATTATTATTTATTTTTCAAAAATATAGGTTCAATTTTTTATAAGAAATTTTAAAATCTATGAATAAAATAAATAAAATATATATATATTATTTTTAAAAATCATAACCTCCAAACTAATGCTGCTGCGCTCAACTTGATGTACAGATGCTGAACTTCTCCATTTCAGATTCCGTGCTTTTCTTCTCTCAGTGTACTTTTAGGGAAAATAGAGGACGACTATGAAGCCTGAATTTTAATAGAAATATAAATATAATAAAGTTAACATATATAATTCAAAACAATAATTTATCATTGTTTAACTATTTTTATTTAAATAATTCCTGTTGAGAAATCTGATGATAAAAATTTAGACTCATATTTTATTAGCAGAATATCATAAATTTTGTATTCTAAAAATTTCATAAAACATAGTATTAAATGATTCTTAAATATGCGAAATAAAATAAAAAAATTTAATACCGTACAATTCCTTTGAAATAAATGCCATTAAAATTTTTCTATTCCAAAAGTGGAATAATTTTCTTTTAAATGTACTTTGATGCCATAAGACATAATTTAATTCTTAATTTAGCTATACATTTTTTTCACCATTCCTTTTTAATTTGTTTTCAAAAGATTAATTCTGTAAATTAATCCTAAAATTACGCCCAGATAGCATCAAATTAATTTTCACTCGGTGTAATAAAGGAACTGCTTTAAACTCTTAATATGATATAATTAATGAAAAGAAAATAATATATTTTAAAAAGCGATTAATGAAAAGTAATAAAGCTTTAAAACTCACATCAGACTTGGCTTTAAAAGGTGGAGAACCTTTTCCACCAGCTATACTAAAACCTAGTCCATTTTGGTCCCGAATTAAAGTAGTATGAACACTAACAGTTATAAACGAATCTCCAGTTGATTCCATTGTATGTGAAGGATCGCAACTTTTCTTTATCTGCAAACAAAATCATATTTTTTTGTTTCTTATAAAAAAAATATATTACGTATTTTTTAAATTTTTACATAAGTGGCGAAATTTTTGTATAATGAATTTTCCAAATTTTGGTTTTGTAAAAATAGATCTATTTCAAACAACTTATGTCTCTAAATGTATCATAAAAGTATTGAATTCAGAAACTTTTTGTCAAGAAATGGAAAGTTTAGTTTTGCTTTAATTTTGAAATTATGTAAACAAAAAAAAAATTATATTTTTTAATTAAAAACAAATTTTTTATAAACAAATTAATCTTTTTAATTTGGTATTTATGTTTCTCACACAATATTTAAAGAACGAATCGTAACGCACTGAATCTGCACTCATTCTTCAAAATTAAATGGAATTTTATAATCTTTAATTTATATTTAAAATTAACTTTTCGTTTAATGTGATGTTAGATGTGTGTACAAATCGGGCAAAAATCCTGTAACGTAAAAAAGTACCCGAGATGATTACAATTAATTATTTTTGCAATGTCAGAGAAAAAAATTATTTTTTATTTGTAAAAATAATTACTTTCTTCATCGCTCGTAGGATATAACCACGATATAACACGTATTTTCATTTTTGTTTTATTGAAAAATATTCAAAATTGTAAATAAATTAACCTAAAAATTTGTAACTTCGCTAATAATTATCCTATTTTGATTAATCAAAAACTATATTGTAAAATAAGTGAAATAATAATTTTTACAACAAATTATAGTAAAAATTCATCATTGTTTATAACAAAAATTATTTATCTTGTAAAAAGATGTAAAATTGTGAATATTTCTCCTTCCTCAAGTATAAACCCCTCTTCTTTCAAGATAATTCCTCCCTACCATTTTCTTGAGTTTTCGCCCTTAGGGCCAACCCATAGTTTCAACCTACCTAAGTAAGCTGGGTCAGTAAGGCTCAATAGAAATAAACTCTTAATGAGTTTTCACCATTTTCTTTCTGAATTTCTCCATTTTTCTTGTAAAAGGGCCCAATGGCAAATTTTCTCAACTCCTTTTTCTCACGCCTATGATAAATTTTTCTTCTTCCAAGATTTTTCTCCGCCTTCGAGAAATTTCCCCTTTTGCGTTATTTTCCCCTAACATTACAAACTCAAAAATTGTAGTGGGGACAAACGCTTAAAAACCTATGTTTCTGTACAATAGTCAGTTTATTCCTTAAAACTGTGTATTCCCCAACTTTTCATATTTTTCTTATAATTTAATAGAAATAAAAACTAAATTAATCCCGAGCTATTGGATGAGAATCCAGGCTCAAAATTAATTAATTAAATTTTAAGTAATGGTAATAATAATGAAAATTTTTTAAATAATTTTTAATTATTAATTATTTATTATTTGAAATTTAAAAATTTATTTATGTTGCATTACGTAACATTTCATATATCAGATCATCCACTTGGCATAAACATTTCAGCGGGAGTTTTAAAATCAACCAATCACAATTTTCATAATAATTTTTGACCGGTTGATTTTAAAATTTCCGCTGTAATGTTTATGCCAAGTGGATGATCTGATATATGAAAGTTCGATCAAATGGAAATTCGACGTTTTAACATTTCTATTTAAAGAAAATTCGGATCTTCGATCAAATAAAATATCAGTGAAATAGAAATTCTCTGTCTTCAAAATTTAGCTTAAAAAATTTCTGTTAAATAACAATTCTATTAAATAAAAAATAGATTGTATAGAAATTTTTTGAATAAAACTATTGTTAAATAAGAATTTTTGTTAGGGTCAGCCGGGGTAAATCCGAAGGGGGGGTAAATCCGAACGCTAATTATTTCAGCTTAATTAAAATTTTTAAAAATAAGTTCGATATGAGAATTTTTACCTCAGATCCTCTTCAAGAGATTCTAAGTATTATCCCATTTTTCGTTTGTTAATTAGCAACAGCATAAACAAAGATAACCAGTATTGCAAAAAAGATTGAAAATCAAAGATGACACTCTTTCAGTATTTTGTCTCGTATTTGAAGAAAAAGAAGCTAAAAATTTATTTTATTATTTATAATTGTTTGTTATGAATACTAGAACAGAAACTATTTTTCATTTTTGCCTTCTGTAAAATTTTATTAATAATATCAGACCGTTCGTATTTACCCAGGAAAATTGGAAAACCGGGGTAAATCCGAACGGTATTTTCAATAATTTTTTTTTACATCAGAGCCACACAAAATTTTTTTTTTCATTACACTATTATTTTAACATTATAAAAGTACATAGAAAAAAGTTTTTCTTTCTATACGTATCCTCGTTAGTAATTAATAAGCAGAAACTTAATCTCTGTTCTCTCGAAGGAGTGTTTCAATTTTTTTGCCAAATGGTTTGTTGAAAAAAGTTTTTCAGGATCTTAATAAAATTTGGTATTCTACGGTTTTTGGGGTCGCTAATTACCAATTTGAAGTCAGTTTTTCAAAATTCAAAATGGCGGACGAGAATTAAAAAATTCATTGGATTCGCTTGAAAATTGTTACTCGGGGGGTTTCAGGGTCGCTGATTACGCTAAGTTTCCTGCGATTGTAATTTATCAAAAATTTTTGCTACCCCATAAAATTGTTCTATGGAAGTAAAGTAACAACTTCATGCACCAGAATACCGGAAGTATTTTTTTTTAAAGAAAAAACTTATGTTATTGTTGAAACTTACTAAAAGCGTTCGGATTTACCCCGGTTGACCCTATATAGAAATTCTTTTAATTGGGAATTCTGTTAATAAAAATACTTTTAAGTGAATATTCGGTTAAATAGGGAAATTCTACAAAATAACAATTCTGATAAATAAAAATTCTTTTTTATGGAAATTTTTCTAGATATAAATTTTGTTAAATTCAAATTGTATTATTTGAAAATTCGATATATTAGAAAATCTGCTTTATCACAGTCCAGTTAAATAGAAATTCTACAAAATAAGAATTTTGTTAAATTAATTATTAATTTAATTACTAATTTAATTAATAATTAATTGTAACATGTATAAAACATTTAAAGTTGTGTGAAATTTAATTAATTAAATTTAATACCTTTCTTGTCTCAATAACTACATTGAAATATATCAAAACTATTATTAAAAATATTTAGTTTTTCTTCAATGTTTACGTGAAAAGAACCCGAGTTAAGGTGAAAGAGTTTGCTGAGAAAAATTAGGCTTCATTATAAACAAAGAAAAATCAATGATTGAGCCTTCCAAAAAAGTCAGATTCTTAGGATTTAATTGGAATTCCCGGGATATGAATCTCGAGTTACCTAAAGAAAAGAAAGAAATTATTCTGACGAGAACTAAAAAAATATAATACTCGTACATCTTTTAAAAGAAGCGGCTTTTAATAAAATCAATAGAAAATTTGGCCCTTTTAATATAGACTAATTTGCCTCACGTTCGAATAACAAGCGTGAAAAAAATTTGTTTCATAGAAACAAGATCCGAATTCAATTGCTGTTGATGCTTTCACAATAAATTGGTACCCGTATATTCCCTATTTTTATCTTAAAATTTAGGTAGAGATCCCATTATCAAAAGATTTTATAGTTCTTTGAACCTCAAACCACAGTAACCTAGATAAGAGGATATTTGGGATCCAGAACAAGTGCTAAATTATTTATCAAAATTAGATTCCTAAATTTAGAAATGATTTCGAAAAAAATTAGTCTCGTTATTAGTTAGTAACCGCGTAACGCTTACAAACCCTAACTAAAATTAAAATTAATAATATTAAATTTTTAAACTATTCAGTAAAAATTTATATTCCTGATAAAATTAAAACGTCAAAAGTAGGGAAAGATCAGCTAATGTTACACTTTTTATACTTTCGCGATCCACCGAAATAATGTGTAGCAAGTGTGCTCCGAGTTTATTTAGAAAAGACAGAAAAATTAAGAAATAAAAATAAAGATACTCTATCCTTTTTATTAATTGTATTATTTAATGTCTTTAATCTTTTTACAATCTTCTCAGCGTAAATTGAAGTCTAAGGTTAGTTTTACTAAATAGATTAAATTTTTTTCTGAGACCTAATTTTGAATGGACACATGAAACTAAACTAACCTTTTTTGTTTCGCTCATTTCCTTGTTTTCAGAATTATAGAACAAAGGTGTTGATGACACATAAGATGTTCCACCAAGTGAGCGATTGGCGCTTATATTCGAACATATTGAGTCTTTCCTAGCTGAAATCTAAAGTTAATAAATAGTTAAACTAGAGAAAAATCCAATATGTCTCACTAAAAATGTTGGAGAGGTGTAAGAGCAACATAAAAATTGTAAGTATTTTTTAAAGAACGGGATTCAAAACACCTAAAAAGAAATTAAGAAATAGTTATTTGTGATACAAGTGAGTAAAGTGGGTGATTATACGAGTGTGACATTTGCAACACGAGTCACTATTTCTCATTAAAAAGACACAAGAGTGCGTAAAGTAAATTTTCACACACTGTTAAAAAAAGTGTCACTTTAAGCACAGCTTAAAAAAAATTGTGTAAAATTCAACTTGAGAGGTTAGTGTTGCAAAAAATATCTTTATTGTTTAATTATTTTGAAGAATTAAGAATAAAGGAAAATTTTTTATTTCTTTCAGTCAATTTCAAACTGATATATATTATATTATATATAATATTATATAATATATAATATTGTAAACTTCCATTCCATAAAAAAAAAATGCCAATAGTTAAAAAAAAATTAGTTATAATTAAACACATTTTACTAAGCAATTGAAAAGCTTTAAAATAATTGTGCAAGTTATATTTTACATACCCCATCTGATGAAGAAACCATTTTTGTCACTTCTCTGAGAATGACAAGCATCAATACCCGACCACAAGCTTTTAAAACTTCTACAGCATCATAATGATCAACATTAACTACTGAAACTCCATTTACTGAAAGAACTTTATCACCCACTCGTAAACCGGCAACATCAGCAGGGCCACCTGTAAAGAATAGAATATAGTTTGATTAACAAATATTTATATTAAATATTATCATAGTTGCCATAAAAATAATATTTTGTTTTTCTCTCATTTCCAATCAAAATTAAAAATTTTTGCCTTACCCTAATGAAAATATTTCAAGTGGTTTTTAATAACAGGTCTCGGATTGTACGACATTTTCGACTTATGTTTATATTTTAAAATTGAATTTTTAAAAAAATGTATTCACTTGAATTGTTTGCAAAGTCAATTATTTTTAATAATTTAAAACAAATTCATTGAAAATTACATGATTTAAAATAGTTTTCAATTTAAAACTCACTAAAATGCAATTATTGTCTAAAGTTTTTAAAAAAATTTCTCCAATTCAAAATCAAAGTTTCAATTAATAATCTCTTAAAATTCAATTATTATTTCTAAAAATTTTAACTCAAACACTTGTGACGAAGTATTCGTCAAAATGATATTTATTTTAAAAAAAATAGTTACTTCCTTAGCCAAAGTTGATTTTTTTTAAAGGAGATTTATATTTTGGATAATTCGTTTATTTTTGTAATTAACCCAAATGGTCATTTTCGCACCTTTGTGAGCCGATTGACGAGTTCCGGCAAAAACGTACGAACGAGAGGGTTGAAGGAGCAGCTCGAAGCGGAAATCGAGGGACACACTCACACATCATCGATCGTTGATAGGGATCAGCCGGTGAGTCGTGCGTCCCACATCCCTTTTTTATTTAATATCGGGTTTTGTTTAAGATTACTCCTGAAGTAGTATAAGGAGCACTCACTGTATAGGCCGTTTTTGAAAATTCTTCCCCAGCATTTCCAGATTTAATATAAGCATTTACATATTCGCTGCGGACACGGAAACACAGTGGCGCCTCTAGCGGCGCCATAACGCGATTTTCGTTGGATACTTGTAAGCTGTTTTCATTGAATGTTTTATGCAGTTTCAAATTTGACAAGTGTTTACGTTTGTAAATTAACTTTATTTTTTTTATCTACTTCGAGGACGAATTTTCTTGTAATTATTTTGACGTAAGTAGCTGAAACTTTATATACTTTCTCTTAATGTTATGTTAAATGTATTCATTCAATATCATAATTTTGTAGGTTATGCTCATCAAAACTGCATGAAGCTTGATTATTTTCTGTAAAATTTGATAACTATCGCAAAACATAGCAGAAAGTAGTGAAAATAAACGGAAAGGAAATATTAATTGTTGTGTCGTGAATTGTTTTAATTCATTTAAAAATTCACCGCTTGGTACACACTTTTATACGTTTCCAACTGCCGCACATAAGAAAGAGCGTCGAGAGAAGTGGATTGCTCTTGTAAACAGAAAAAAGTGAGTATATTTTAATAAGAAAATCAATTAAATTTTTTTATGATTCAATTTGACTACTTTTCATTTTAAAAAAATGTTCTAGTCCTGATGGTACCTTATGGCAGCCTTCGATTTACGCAAGGATTTGTAGTCAGCATTTCGTGGGAAACGAAAAATCAAAGAATCCTTCAAGTCCAAACTACAATCCTACTATTTTCGCTGAAGTTTATAAAAAGCGAGTAGTTGGTTTAAAAACAATTATGGAATGGTATAAATATATATGTATTATTATTATTTATAAAATTATTAGATTGTTTCGTAGAAAATGTCAAATTTTCAGTATTAAATTTTGCTAGTGGAAAATTTTCATTGTGTTTTGAGAGAAATAAGTTAAAAATTAAAAAATTTGGATCTTTTAGAAAATGATATTTTGTTGTTTCTTTTTGCAATATAAAACTTTAAATACTAATTGAAAAAATATACGTATAAATTATTGCACGTTAACGTTACAAAATCTCATTTTCAATCTACTTCAATTTTTTATTTTTTAAGTTAATACAATTATTTTTTGTTTACAGACATGAGAGATGTAAACGTTTGGAAATAAAGAGACAAGCTTCTAAAAGTAAATTGACAAAATCGAAAAAAACAAATACAGCTTTCCATGCTGAACAAGTGAAACCAGAAAATAATATTTGTGACAAAATAATGGTAAATAAAAGTGTCGAAGTAAATTTTCTGCCTGACGAAAGTCATAGTTATGACTCAAAAATTTTTATCTGCAATCGATACATTTTTACTACTCACAATGAAGCAAAAACTCAAGCTTTTATTCCAGATGTTCCGAAAAAATTTTAGGATTTAATAAAAATACAAAGGATAAAAATGTAGGAACTGACCAGGTTTATTGTAGCAGAAGTGTGGGATTAAAAATTAAAATGTTCATCTGGATTTCTTGGAGTATCTTCTATTCACTCAGACCAAGAAATGCTTGTGGTAGCTGGGGTTACATTAGATACTTTCAATCTATTAAGGGGGGAACACCAGTTGTAACTTTCGAAAAATCGATTTTTTTTGTGAATTTTCTTAAAGTATACATATTTAGAAATGTGTCTGTAAATTTCAAAGTTGATCCGGTGAAAAATAAATGAGATATACAGAACACTGCAGCGGCGCGTCCCGTGGCTTCATACAAGGTGGCCAGCCATACCTTACCCTAACGACAGATGGCAGCAAATTGGCATTTTAGAATCGGCAACCACTGCGGAAGAGTTATTATATGGTCCAGGAATCGATGACTCTTTGTAACTTGGAAACAAAATTTCTTCTGAACAAAAAAAAGTAAGTTGAAACTTTGAATGCGTTTTTCTCAAAATGACATTTTCCAAGTCGGTGACCACGATTACTCGAATACCATTAAACCGATTTATTTAAAATTTAGTGTGCTTCATTTACACATATAAGTCTAGTTCGTGATCGAAGGATTTTTTTTATGAAAAATTTTTTTTATATAGCTGAAAATCGACCGTATTTTTTAACGAAAATCATACTTTTGACTTTGACAGGTCGCCATTTTGTCAAATTTTTTTTTTAAATCCTTCGATCACGAACTAGATAATCTTATAATAAATGTAAATCAATTTCATTTTTGTATTTCAGACGAAGTATACTTGCAGAATGCTGGTCACCGCAATTCGCCTTATTTCTTAAGGCGCCACTTCAATTGCTCATATCTCCAAAAGTTTTTGTTAAAAAAATTTTTTTTTCTTTTAAATTACAGCTTTTTACATGTACTTTTAACTAATAAATAGTATTCTTTAAAAAGATTCATTGTTCTTTTGGAAAATATTCTTGTGAAAAGCATTATTTGTTGAGTTACAACTGGTGTTCCCCCTTAAAAAGTATTTATGAACAACCCGATGGCAAGAAAATAAGTAGAAATAATCGACTGCTTATATTTTTATGCAAAATGAAATTATGACTCAGCTATTCGGCCTTAGGAGTTTTCTTTGGTGTCAGTCGAAAAACAATTTCACGAATATTTCTTTCAACATTAGAATATTTGGTCGTGAGATTCAGGTCTGAAGACTTTAAATTTTAAGGAGTACAATTAACATTTTTTTTTAATTTTTTGCTTTAAAAAAGTCTGCTACAGCTAAACCCTTTGCGTATAAATCTTTCCCAATCTGACTGTCACAAGGCTTTCTCCACTCTTGTTCTAGATTTGTTTTACTAATGCTTCGATCAGTATTGACAAAATGTATTAATGCAAATACATGCTTGCATTTTCCACCTGCCTCAGACACGCATGTACAAGAAACGTATGTTACTTTTCGGTTTGAGTCGAGCTGCAAATAATAATTTAGGTTAAATTTTTTAACAATTTTTTTAGGTTAATTATGAATTTCTTTATATTATGATTATTCTACAAATTATCGTTTCATATTTTAAAACGAGGAACTACCATTAATTCAACCGAATAAGGTGGAGAATTCACGGATGTTTGACGGATTACACTACCTCGAATTTTTTCACTCATTCCATTTACTCGGATTTCTTCCACTTGAACAACATGGATAACCGACAAAGCTTTTCCTTTTTTAATAGTTTCTGGTCGAAACTCAATTTCGTGATTGATTGCGGCAAAACCAGTTTTAATTATTACATTCATATTGATAATAATATTATGAACCTGTCATTATGTTATTGTCGTCCAACGAAAATTGCCGATTTCTGCCGCGCCGAGCGCTGGCAGTCATATCCGGCAATCGTTCAGGGCTATCTCCGCAGCGAATCCCGGATACTAACAACCCGAGCGGAAAAGCGAGGAATTACAGGTCATATGGTACATTGTTATATAAGTGTTTCTGTATAACTGTTTTTTTAAAATGTGTTTGATGCGAGTTAATTTTGTGTAATTATAAATAAAAAAGTAAAAAATGAGGCTGCTAAATTGATCAATGAATCAGCATTAACACAGGCAACTTTACTTGATACAAATTATTTTGTATGTATTTGAATGTTCACAAAATAGTTGCTGAACTTGTCACTATATTTTGTTTGGTTACATGTAAATATAACCTAAAAATAAAAAAAAATTAAGAAATTTCGTTTGAAATATATACGGCTACAATGAAAAAATAGTTAATTATGATACAAGTGCGTAAAGTGATTATACGAGTGTGACGTTTGCAGCACGAGGCGAAGCCGAGTGATGCAAATCACACTCGTATAATCAGATTTACGCACGTGTATCATACTGTAATGGGGTAGAATTAATAAAATAAATATAATAAGAAATATTAGTAATCACACTCGTATAATCAGATTTACGCACGTGTATCATACTGTAATGGGGTAGAATTAATAAAATAAATATAATAAGAAATATTAGTAACCGTAGTTACTATTAACTTTATTAACTCAAAAATATATGCTTACAGTTCCATAGTTTGCTTACAACTGATTTTTAATAGTTCTTGTTCCTCTATTTATACGTTGTTTTAGGATGGGCTAATACATGTTTTTTAGGGAATGAGGTTGAAAATAGAGAAAGATGAAAATAGAAATGAAAAGTTTCTATTTTGAAAGTTTTTAGGGTTCGACGACATATATGGTTAGTGTGAAGGTTTTTATATTATTAGAAAAGTACATCTGCGTTACATCCCTCCAT